TCCCCCAGCTGGCTGGGGGGTTCTGGGAGTCGAAGTCCACCCATCTTAGAGTTGCCAAGGTTGAGGAGCACCATCCCAGGAGCTGGTGCGCCATCTCAGAAGCACATCTTCTGATGGACTGACCTGTTTTCTCTTTCTGGCCAGGAGTGGGAATCACCATGGTGATCATTTCCACCTTTGTGACCATTTATTACAACGTCATCATTGGGTACAGCCTCTACTACCTGTTCGCCTCCTTCCAGCGGGTCCTTCCGTGGGCCGAATGCGACAAGACCTGGGCAGACGCGGGATGCAGCAAGACGCCAATCGGTAAGCCACTGGGAAAAGCAAACAATTCTTTGGCCCGGCCAAATTCATTAATTACAGTTCTCCTATGTGCAGAGCCGTGTTTTTGCGGCAGGGTGCCTTGTGCAGTGTTTAGATTAGATTAGAGCTTCTGTTCTTTTCATAATAAAGCCACATGGCCAGATCGCCAGTCTGAGCAAGACGCAGCAACTGGGGTGGGGACATGCAAAGGAGGGGTGGGGCTATGCAGATGAGCACCGTCTTGGTCATCACCGGCTAGGGATCCTCGCCGAGCGGATCTAGACAGGGACCTGCCTATCTTGCACCCGTTTTCAGCTCCTTGTATTAATTTCCATCTTTCCTACCTTGGGGTTACCAAGCCTGCTTCTGAAAGGTTGCATGAAAGCAGTTTCTGTTCCTTTTGTCTGGTGTTTGGTTAACAAGCCTATGTCAAGTGCTAAAACACCACACAAAGGGAATCGTAATATACGTGGAGGTGTCACCACATCGAGTCTGCTTGTTATCCAAGGATCCAGGCGCGGCTCCCTGGTAGAAAGACACTCCTTGAGAAGAGGTGGTCCGATCAGGCCTACAAGCTGTCTTCAGATTTCTTTCCTTTTTTGAGCCGGGGGGAGATAGTAACAGCTGTTACCCAGTTCATAACAGTCACATAGAGGAACATGGAGGGAAAAAAGCAGAAACAGTAAACCCTGAAGCAAAAGGCTTGTGCTGAGAACTTCCAAATCTGGGACTTTGCTAGCAAATATATTAAATTAAAGCAAAATGGCTACAAATTACAAACCACTGTTGGAAGGCCATTTCTCCTCCCACCCCTGCACGCCTTGCAACTGCCTCTTCTTCTCTTTTCAGTGTCATTCTGCAACGTTACGCTGAATAATATCATCACCCAGGTGAATTACACGTGGGTACAGGATAATAACCTCACCTGCATCAACAACACAAAGTTGTTTGTGGATACCCAGGTTCCCAGCGAGCAGTATTGGAAGTGAGTGCCAAATTGGTTAACATGGATCCTTTTCACCGAACACCTGCCATGCAAGTGGCATTGAGCCCGCCTGCCCACTGGGAAGGGCTGTAGCCAGAGACAAAGACTAGCTTTGCTTGCTGGAGATCCCTCACATCTGTGGGGAAGACGCCCCTCTGGAACCTGGGGAGCCTCTCCATCTGTTGCTATATCTTTCCCAACCATGGCAATTTCCAGATGTGTGGACTTCCAACTCCCAGAATTCTCAGCAATGGCTGGGCCAGCTGGGGGGTGCTGGGAGTTGTAATCGAGGTTGTCCGGTTCAGGAAATTCTACAGTGGGTGGTATTGAATAAAGGGGGCCAGTAATCAGACAGGTTAGAAAATGGCTTGCCTTGTTTCTAAGAACAACAATTTTGGAAGGAGGAGTTTTGTTCCCATTCCACAGCTGGTGTCCTTCCGTGTCTAGGTAGTCAGAAATAAGCCCCCTCGGAGGCTTCCTTCCAAGGACCACATATTGCATTGAGGGCCTCGCTGAGGTCCTTCACGAGAGCATGGTGGTTGAAGTAAGATCAAGTAGCAGCTGGAAGGAAAGAAAGAAGCCTGTTACTAATTATTTGCCCCGAATGGCGGGGGGGGGGGGGTTTTTGAGTGAGTTGGCATCGTTGGCTTAAGCTCAGGGACCAATCTGCCCTCTGGAGGTACCTCACCCAGGATTCCGCATCTACGCTATCTTCCCCAGAGCAAGTCCTTTATGCAATAACACAGGAAGCATGAGGCTATTTGCAGAAGTGTTAGTTGCACCATAACTTGTGTGGGCCGTCACATCTTTCCCTGATGATGACTTAACTACGCAAAGCCAAAGAGCAGTGAGAC